CTCCGACATTCTCTGACTCTAGGGCGACTCCAAGGATAGGTTTGCACATGTTTGCGTTGTTGCATAGAGCAACGGAAATATCTCCCATGTCAAACGCGACTCTGCCAACTATGCCACTTTCCGAGGACTGGAGTGCTGAGGAGCTAGTGCTCTACAGCTTCGAATCCCCGTTCTTAGACGGCTGCAGTGCCCCGGCATTTGTCAGTTAACCGGGCCGCCTGGCAGTGGCTTGCGTAATCGTGAAATTGTTCGGTGCTTTCGAAGGACTGGCCCTGCTGAAGGCCATGCTTCAGGACTAAGCAACTGCTTCCCGGTGGCTGCAAGTCGGATGGTACGTAATAGATAGTCATAGCAAGGCAGATAATGCGATGCGCGAGCATACGTGGAGATTTCAGAAAACAAAAGTAGTGAGTCAGTCAGTCAGTCAGTGAAGCCAGCCTCCCACGTCCCTCTCAACTTTTCCAGGGGGCCTCTGCCGGCATCATCGCCTCGCTCCATCACGGAGCTCCAGCAGAGGAACTAGCTAGTGCAGATAGGAGTCGCCAGCAGCATGAAGCTCGGAATCAAGCAAAATCGAGCAAATGTTGTGCAACAACGGCTCACATCGAACGGGGAACGTGTCGAAGCATGCAGCATTTGCACATGGAAGGCTCACCAAGTTCAAGAATTCGCCACATACAAGACTCGATCCAGCTTGTCAAGTTGGCCAGTGCCTAGGGCTTAGGGAGCAAGGCTCCAAACGCAACGGGCCCATCGAATACAAGATTCCAGCTTGTTAAATGGGCGGGCTGGTGCCGAGCGGCCGAGGGAGCAAAGCTCCAAGTAGAAACGGCCCAGCAACCCAACCAAAACCCGTGAGCCCAGCACATAGGGTGCGCGTGTGCACCAGCGCCGAGGGACGGCACGGCGCATCCGTGGCTTCACAATGCGCAATGTACTAGTAGCAAGCAGCAAGAATAGACAACATACGAGCTGCAGAAGTAGCTCGGTCCACGACCAATGTAGCACACACACACACACACACACACCACCAGGGCCGAATGTCGCCACAATAAGCAATATAAGTAGAAGCAATGTAGCATTCATTGCACATACGAGATTAACACAACCCGCCCAAAGACCTCCACGGCCAATGCTGGCGAAGTAGGAGGCAAAAAATATAGCCAGCATACCCAACCAGGACCAGGACCTGGTATCGTCACAACAGGCAATGTACCAACATGCCGTCCACACCTTTCCCACGAAGAGCCCCAGTCCACAATAGCGTGCTAAGCCCCGGCATACGGACCATCAAGCAGCAGGGATATGATCCGAGCAACTCGGACAGTTGTGATAGGGGAGCTTTCACTGCCAAGCTTTTCTGTTAACAGCCTGACAGGACATCGCTAAGCGACACATTCTGGCCGTGCTTTCGAAAAATGAGAGCGGTGCGGCCGCAGTGGCTGGCTCAGCAACTTGTGCACAGGCGGCAGCTGCATTCTGTGTTCGTGTGCGGCTGTTTCAGGGGCGAGGCGAGGCACTCGCAAAAACTCATCCTGGGACAGCCTTGACAGTCACTCCATCTGTTTCCATCACGGTAATGGCTGCGCCAGCACATAGCATTGGTGATCAGTGGTAATTAACCCCTCCATATGGTTGGTGATATGCTTTGACCTTTCAACGCGCGAGTAAGGTCTTGAACCTGCTGAAACTGGCGGGTCTTGCGAAGTACTTCAGTGCCATCTGGACTACGCCTTACAGGTCGTTACTTGGCCCCTGCAACACTTAGATAAGTCCAGAAAGCCATCAGCAGAGCATTCAATCCATGCTACCACCATGCACATCAGCACAGTCATCCGTTATCACAGATTCTCGTCGTCATCGGCGGCAGCGAGGATCAGTTTTCTGCATTGATGTTCGTTGCTGCAGGCTCGTTCCTTGCGGCGTGTACCAAGCTTCTCCTGGGCAGTGGGAGGTGTTTGAGCCCCCGCTGATGGATGTCCAGGACCACCAGACAGATGCTCGTCCGGAGAAGGCTGCAGTGAAAATGCTCTGGCAAAAGCCACAGTTGCCACCAAGGAGGTGCTGTACGACATAGCAACTTGGTTTTCACAGCTACGCTGGTAGAAAGAGCTCGCGTTGGGTCCCACTCCATCGCTGCTAGTGCACGCTGCATAGGCATGGGTTGGGCAACATACCTGCTAACAGGCGGAAACTCGCTTCGCCACTCGGGCAATAAAAGCCCAGCCATACTGCCCTTTCAGCGCCGTTTTCCTGTTAGACCGGTCAATGAAATGGCTACAGCCTGCCGACCTAAGGTGGACCACACCGACAAGTGGTTTCCCCAAGTTGGACTGAAGCAGGACCGAGCCTTCGTTTTTGCATAAGCGTGGCACTTCTAGACTCCTCATGATTGCCAGTGCAGGAAGTAGCACACGTCCTGGCTGCATGCCCCTCTGCCAGGATCGCTTTGTGCGGTTGCAACCGCTGTCCCCTGAATCGGTGCTCCGGCCCGGAGGGGGGTGAGCTTCAGAGCATGCATGCAGTGTTGCGGCCAAGCTTTTGCTGTTGCCAGTTGCTCATGACTAGTGTTGCTTTCTGTTATGCAAGGCTTGTCTTTTTATGCTGTCCAACTGCATGTCTCCACTCCCTTGCCGCACGTCGGGGAGGCAGGTCAGCCGGCTTGCTATAAGAACCACGTCAGTGCAGCATAGGCAACGAGGCCCCCCACACAGCTCCAGCACAAAACTAAGTGAGTTTAGCACAATGAAAGAAGTGGTTGGTAGGATAAAGACGAGCCAGGAAAAGCCAGGTCCAGAATACAACATCTTGGAGTTGAGTGTGTACAGCTTGCTGTGGCCTTGCGATTCCCTACATTCCGAAGTGACTTGGCACGTCGATGCAACCGGAGTTTCACTGGCAATTCGCTCAGGTCATTCTCATCGACGACGAGCGAGAAAATCTTCAGAGCCCGCTTGGCAAGCAGGCGCTACGTTACTGTGCCCTGGCAGGCGTTGCTGGGCTTGTTTCGTGAAGTGAAGAGCCTGAAGCCAGCGACAGCTGTAGTTCACCAAGCAAGTGAGAAGAGCGGCAAAGCCTCGAAGAACCACGCCAAACCTCTGAGGCAAAGTGGCCCGATACGACGAGGTCTACAGGAATTGTGGCCCGCTGAACCAGCTTGGAGGCATCGGCGCGCACAGCGACCAGGCTTATGTATACAAGCTGGAGAGTTCCTTCAACACCAAAACAGCACCAACGCGACCCTGAGGCGAGGAAGACTTCGAAACCCTGAAGGCCTTCATCGCAGAGCCTTGGGCCTTCCAGGCCCGAACAATCATGCGTCCTGACCCGAGCTGCACAAGCCCGGACCCTTTCCTCGGCTCCCCTCCGGCTCGCAAATTTGCAAAGCTATGTAAATCATTGTCTTCTATGGAAAACTTGATGCTGCCCATGATTCTGTGGCACAGGAGCCGAGCTTTGAAAAAGAGCAAGGTGAGGAAGGGGCTGACTCTCAGCTGCACTGTACATCTCGCACAGCCTGGCCGCGTCAGAATCGTAGAATCGAAGAAACGCTGCTGGAAGCACTGGCCATGCTCATAGTTCCTGTGCTTTTGCCACAGATTGATCCGAACCCACAGAGAGAGGCGAGCCCTGACCCCCAAAAAGGCTTCCTGGAGCGGGAACCCAAGCAGTCAAGCAGCATTGGGTTTGGCATGGCTGTTTCCTTCAGTGCCGTTGCACAGCCAGGTCGCTGAACCCGACGCTTCGAGAATGTCAAGTAGATCGGAGGCTCTCGGCTCATGATCCTGTAAAAAAACATTCGAGCTCATGGCTCGCTTTCTTTCGGCGAGGAGCTCCGGAAGTTGCCTCGCTCCCGGCTGTCACGCTCAAATTCTTCGCCCTCGCTCCTTGACAGCTTTTGCGACGTGCGAACTGTGGCCCTTTCGTGTGCACTGTCGTGCGAGTCTTACGGATTTTGTAGGAAAGTCGCTTTCCTTCGGCCAGGTTGCGAGATGCCCCGCGGCTGCCCGGTATGTCCCGCAGTCAGAGCTTTTGCACCTCGCCCAAAGAAGCACAGAAGGACAGGGATTAGACATGGCTTGCAAGCGGACGGAGGAAGCCGCAAAGACTGCCGAATCCAAAGTGTAGGGATTGGGTTAGTTGCTGAGTTACCCTCGACCGGCGCATCACACGGTAGCCACGTCCGCTGTGTAACATCCTATACTTTGATGCTCTCCTGCTTGGTGAGTTGCGCATGTCCTGGTGCCAACCATGCTCCCGCCGCGACCCTCCTGGGGTTGTCTTGGGGTGCTCTCAGACGGGCTCTTGGGTATGCAGGGCTTGGACATTGGTAGCACCCAAGGTGACGGTTCTGTCCAAAGCTCAACATACTCTGTGAGATTGGGAGTGAAAGCGTGGAACATAAGGCTCTTCGCCGCGCCTGGACATTGCTGATCCGGGTTGCCATACACCGGAATTCAGTTTGACTGGCATTGACTGACGAGAAGCTAGCACAGTTCTGGTTTCTCCACGGTTAATTATGGACTTCCGACAGCAGAGGATCTGTTTGGAAGTCTTTTCGACGTGTGCTGGCATGCCTCGGAACTCAGGGTAGAGGCTTGATGCGACATGGCTTGATAGTTGGTGCTGCCGTCACTCCGTCGATGCCCCTTTGAAAAGCACCGCATCGTTTCCACGGCCTCTGAAAATAGATCGAGTGAGCAAGCCCGGCAAATGTTCTTGGATGTCATTGTGCTGTGAATTGGTATGCACTCCAGCCGTAAGGAAGCTCAACAGCAGGTGACTACATGCTCTTTTGCAAGCATTCAAGATTCAAGAGCTCTATAATGGTCTTGCAACTCTTGGGATGTGTATACATATGTATGTGAACATTGCGAAGCAGTCTAGCCCTTCTAATCCAAGCACCCATGCAAGCTGGCACCTAGCCGTGTTTTGTCCGACAATGTCCGACACAAGACGCAGCTCCAAACCGGACCTTCGGCCACGGTGCCAGAAGTGCAATGTGCTTCTGCTTGGACCGTACTAAACTCTCGCGAGCGACTGCTCCAGAGGACCTGAGCATTTGCTAGCAGCGACGGATCACGGTGTCGGCTTTGACACAGTGGTGACTACTGGTTCATGTCCCAATGACCAGATGTACAAGTAGGCAGCCAAGGGCCAGGCATCATACCCCCAGCCGTTGGTTTTGTTCAACACAATCATCAGACCATGCCCACGGCGATTCTCAGGATGCGTGCAAAGCCAAGCTTCGGCAGAAGCTCTTGCTGCAGCCAGGCACAGCAGGGGGGCACATCGTCTTAGTAAACTGCAAGATGTTGAAACCTAGGTATACCAAAACACAGTACTCCCGTTCGCGATTGAATTGATGCGAAGACTTCAGGTTCTCGGTGCAACTCTCTCTCCACTTGAGGTGGAAGGCGACACGACCTTGCCGTACTAGCACTGCGTACCGTGCTCCGGCACTGGGCGACCAGCAGTGAGGTGCCAAATAGGCGGGATAAGTTGTGACAATCCTGTTTCCTTAATTGACAGATTGATGCAGAGGCAGAATGTTGTGGTCATAGATTATCATAGCATCATGGCTGCTTGCAAAGGTTTCGGTTTGGCATGCCAGCACCAATGAATGGCACTGCATGGGTGAAACCTGGTAGCTTCAAGATTCACATCAAAGCACCCTAGATCCTGCAGACCGTCCAGTAGACAACTGGAGGCAATGCTGTGTACGCCTCGCTGGCATTGTGACGGCGACACGGCCACAGCTTTCACGAGCTCCGCAGCAGGTGCAACGTTAAAGTTAACTGGGCGAATCAATCATGTCAACCATGCCGCCTCACTTTCGTTGGTGTCCGATCCAGCAGAGCTATGAATGGCAAACGGCCCAAGAACGTTTGCTCAGCGACAGTTGGCAGCATCGTCCAACTAGCAAGTCTGTGAGCAGAACAGGATCATTCGGCCCATATCTGCGGTGTGCGACTGACCTTCCCGGATGGGATCGTCGGCTCTTTGTGTTTACTGTAGCAGGCCAAGTTTCCAGGTCCTGGCCTTCCTGGCTTCGGCTGTTCTTGATGAACGAAACTCTCGTGTCGAAACCGTTATGACGGGTCCTTTGACTGCCCGACCTGTCTGCAAAGACTTGAGCAGAATTTCTGTGCCCAACACAGCGCAGTAGTCCATGGTGCACATGGCGCATCCATCTTTCGGCTACGCTTTCACATGTTCAGATCAATGTACGAACCGTCGTCCTAGATTTCCCTTGAAGGCCTGCGGGTCTTAGGACAGCTGCGCTGGAAAGCTGGCACAAAGCCTCCCACTGATGACTCTGAAGGCCTTTTCTCCTTCTATACCTGGCCTTCGCCTGGCGCTCGAGAAGGCACTGAGAGAGGAAGCACAATTCAATCGGCTGCCCGGCAGAAGCCATTCGGGATGTCTTCGTCCTTAGAGCGAAAAGGAGTTCGATCCCTGTGAACTCCGCAAAGGCGAGGCCAGCACCTTAGGCCTGGTACACAAAAACACCCCCAGTGGCGGACTGCAAGCCGAGACTGTAGCTGTAGCTCTTTGATTCTTTGATCTCAGGTTGTTGCACGAAGCCGTCCGCCAGCAAGATCTCGAAGGTGCTAGACAGGCCGGACCGGAGAGGAACCTGTGCCTTGGCCTCCTAGCCTGAGCTTTGGGACACAGCAATTTCGGCCCTGGTACAGGCACTGGAACTTGGAGCAGAGGTGGCCAGCAGGGATACCTATGGTTGGACAGCCCTCCACGTCGCTGCAAGCAAAGGCAGGTCCTTGCAATGCATTCTCGATCTTGTACAAAGTACACGTAGCATCCGAGCATGCTGGTGCTTTGGAATCCGTCCTGTGTGTGGAGAGGATGTTTCTGAGATTCCCTGAGGTGCAGTGGACATTTGCGACTTGTTGATCGCATCGGGTGCAAAGGTGACAGATGCTTGCTTTGTTTCGGTTTGGCCCGGTCGAAGCTTCACTCCCATCGACGTTGCCTCGCAGATCCGAGCCGCACCATTCAGGGAAGCTCTCTTTGACAGCCGACCTGCGCCTTCCAAGCGACGGCAGCAGGTCCTCAGCCTGCTTTTGGCTGCCAGGGATCTCGAGGCTGCACCCCGAGTGTCGGACTGAGCGGAAAGCACCTGAGCGCTTAGGCCTCGTAGTTGTAGACTTTCTACAGTAGTTGACTCAATGTATCGGCTTAGAAGTTAAGCGCCACAAGAGCGCCCTTATGCGCAAAACTTGCGAGAACACCAGATGAGGTTGCAGTCCTCAGTCCGAACTTTACCGAGCTTTGGACATGCCGGCTTTCAAGACGTGGCCAAATCTGACACAACGCTTTCCGAGCATGGTTCCAGAACATCTGGTGCATGCGCAAACAGGAGACACCTGTTGTGATCGCTACTAACGCGCATTGTGCCTAAGGAGTCACGCAAAACGGCGCCCCGGCGCCTTCCTCAAAAGCTAGATTGTGGTTCAAAGACAGCCCCCAACTGCAATAGCACACCAGACGACTAGCAGCGATAGGTGTAGCCGTGGCTCAACCCGCCATGCTGCCGAGCCGGCTGCTCCGGGCATGGGCCACTGCCATAATGCAGCTTTCTCTGCACAGAGATGCATCGCTTTTGCTGCTTTGCTGCATTTGGTACGGGTTTTGCTTGTGTCCGCGCACACAAGTCCCATCGCATCCTCAAAAGCACTTCCCACCCACAGTTTGGAGTTCGTGCTCCGCTGATTCCAAGCTTGGCGACAGGATATGTCCTCACAGCTGCTCGTGCACGGGCATGTCTCGATGCCACTGGGGACAGTCAAGCGTGCGAAAAAGCCCCGCGGTTCATTCAACTGCTGACATCGGCTCGACGGGGGGGCGTAGGTCGGCCCGTTCGCATGCAGCTCCAGTCTCGCAAGCCTGAGGGGCAGCGCGAAGGCGAAGCGGCGAAGCCATGCGAAGCCGCGAAGTTCGCTCACTTCAAGATCTCGGTGTTTGGGCCTTTTGGGAGGGGTCGGCTGGGTCGCGAGACTGGGAGTTCTGAGTTGCTCACCAGCCCATTGCGAGTTCGCCTGAACCAGAGGCGCTTCTGCATCGCGGCCTTGCTGGGATGTCACGGCCAGGAACCGCTGCAGAGACTTGGCCTTGTCTTTGGGGGGGCCCGAGCCTTTTGTTCGCCTCGGCGAGTGGCAGCAGAGGAGCGAGTCCAGTGAACAAGCTTGTCACTGGCAGGAATGCTGGCAGGCTGGCTTTACCTATGAGCGCTGCTGCTTGCGAAGATATGGCCACCTGCATTCCATTCGAACCCTAGCTTCGATGTAGCAATGCCATGCCGCCAGAAGCAAAGCGACAGCCGAAGTTTCAAGCACAGCACATTGTCGCCCCGGTCGAAGGCAATGCCCAGTATGTCGGGTTTAGACATGATGAGAGCAGCGACAAAGATCTAGGAAGCAGCAAGTTTGAAGCCAAGTTTTGTCGTCAGCAGGGTCGCAGGAGCGTTTTGCTGGCTCTTTAGCCGGCGGATGAGGTCCAGATGCGACGTGTTTCCCACCTGGTGATCGCTTCGATGTGGTGGCCTGAGATCACACCTGTACATGTAGATACATTATGTAGGGGAGGCGTTGCAGCGGACGTTTCACAGACCGGTCAACTGCAGAAGGAGACCCGCTGCTGCTCCGGCTTGCTGCAGGGACTCCTCGCCCAACACAGAGGCCGAGATGTGTTGAAAGTCGAGTTCAGGGTCTTCAAGTCCTCCGTATCTTTCCACTGGGCGGGTTCGACACCGCGAGAATAACGCAGAGTCCTACGACTCTTTGAGCAGCACATGTGTCAGGAGATAGCAGCCCGTCCAGTGCTGAAGCCTCGTGGCTCGGCGTGCGAAGATGCGCGGAGAGGAGCAAGGACTTGAGTCTGTTTCTTTGAGGATCCTGACGAATGACATGCTGTCGCGAGAGGATGAAGAAGCAGCCTCATGACGAATGAACAAGTGCCATGTTTTTGGTAGGGAAGTATAATTAATGAAGGGTAATTGCAGGCATCAGGTTTCACGAGGTACGGCGCTTCGTCCGGTTACGGTCGTTGAGTCCGACTTTTGGAGAATGTGATGGGCTTCTGCAACCAACTTCTCATTTCCAGCAGGAAGAAGCCGCGAGGGAGCCTGCCACGCTCCAGGGTGCAGCGAGGGAGTGAAAGGGATCGCATGCGGAAGCATTCGTAGTAGCCCAGGCTTAAACTGAAAGATTTTGCAGAGCAGCTTTGAAGAGCGTGTGGACTTGGGAGCTACAAAACTGTGGTCAAGCACCGAAGGCCCGAAGGCTCTTGGGTCCAGGTGAGAGGCTTCCTTTCACGCTTATGACTGAGGATCCTTCTTGGGGATACAGAAGGAAGAAGTGCAAGCAAGATCCCTGGTCAGGAAATGAGTTTCTGAAGACCCTTACCTGCATCGCTTCGCTTCCCTCTGTGGACATTGTGATGGATACCTTTCTGGGAGGAGGCCGGTCGGCCCGACTTTGCGAATATAGGGTTGTCGACCGTTCGCTCGTGAGCAGCCGGGTGCCAAGAACGTATACTGATCCCTTTCCATGCGACATCTGCTCGTGACTGCTAGTGGTGACTTCCGTATAAACGCGGCAGGCTTCAGCTGCAAAGCGATAGCCATGGGGCCTCTTGGGCAGCAATCCGCAACTTCTTCACAAGTTTCCTAGTCTGGACTCGCTGGGCCTTCTTATGCTAAATTATTACACTGATGGCTGCTGAATGCGAGACGTCGTACGGCGGCGCCGTTTGTGCTGCGCATGTCCAGGACATATGCTTGCAAGCAGGTGTAACGAAAGCGAGGGGGTGAGTTGATCAGCGGACTGAGGCTTGCGACGTCCAAACCTCGCAGAAGGCCAGAAGCTCAGCCTCGGCCACGAGCCCAGTGGCATCCAGTGGCCCAGTGGACACAGCCCTGTGAGGCCCCCTATGGTGCTGGCTTTTGAGATGCACGAGGACCGGATAGTTGAGGCACCAAGGATGAAATTGAGCACATCGTAGGACACCAGGATCTCCCGATGCATCCCGGCACTATCAACTAGGCTGAAGTAGTGTAAGCTGCAAGCATGTCACATCTAGCAGCAGCATGGTCCTCTACCCTGCACCAGCAGGCACTCAAGCTGCTCAATGAGGCGTATCCTGGTTCAAGTAAGAGATCCGTGATTGTGCTGAAAGACATGACGAAGGCAGATTGCTCGATAATCCAGATTTGAGAACAAGTGGCTCAAAATTCAAAGTCTTTTTGACTGACGTTTGGCTGTGGCCTTTGTCCTTCTTGATTCTTCATCGACGCTTAGGCCAGTTCCGCTGAAATCGCCAATGGTGGCGCGGCCTGTCTTCACAGGGTACTTGAAGGCGTTCCTTGAGCGGTCGGACCGGTCAGGGTCCAGGACTTATGCTGGTCAAAGTTTCGCGACTGACGGCTTGGGAACTGCAGTGAAGGTAAGCACTGTGGACATATATGACATAGAAAGCAGAACCTCCAGCCAAGCATGCTATCTGGCACGAAGACGCATCCAAGGGACATTGTCAAGGACGAGGGTGAGAACATTCCACTATCAAATGACTACAAGGCCCCGCCAGCCGCAGACACGCCAGAATTGGCGGTTCTTAAGTGTTGGACCGAAAGGCTGAAGAGTTAAGGACTTTGCTTCGCAGTTTGCTTTGAGTCTAAGAGCACGGCTGGCCAGTCACACGCAGGGAAGCTTGAAAGCACTGTGGAGTGGCCCACCGTGGTAACAGCACGAGCCTTTGTCGTGGATCTTGTGAGGAGAAACTATACCGGTACCAGGACGGCCTATGGGAGGCGCGAGTTTGGAATTAGACCAAGAAATGACGACTGATTTTTCCTGCTTGTGTGATATTGATAGGCCTTGCAACCTGCTCCAGTGCTGGACAAGGACTTGTCGCCTCACGAATGCTTCGGTCCTTCCGAATGTTTTCTGCTTCAGAAACTTCAACTGAATATCTCTGCAGGCTCAAACCAAGATATCCTGTGCGACACGTATTTGCTGACTTTGCACTGAAGCAGCCGATTCTCAAACAGTCACATGGGCATTGGATGGGAGCTTTGCTTGCGCACTCTTCAGGAGCCTCTGCAGATGGTCTTCGCACACGGTGTCACACCGGCAGTTGGAACTAACATGCTGTCAAACGCGAAGACTGACAGGATTTGCGAAGGTTGGTGCTACAGTCGTGCCTGCATGCACTGCTCGAAAGGATTTGCAGGTTCGGCTTTCCATGGTAGCGAAACTTTCTTTTTAGTGGGATTTCGACCGGGCTCCGCTCTGTGTTTTTCCGCTGCCTTGCTAAGCGGATCCGTTTGACAGGTACCCCTTTGGCGCGCAGATCTCTCACGACGTATACCTGGAACGCGCACGAGGCTGAGCGTTCTTCTAGAGAGTGCGTGAGTTTGGTGGCTGTGCTTGCGTGATGAGCTTCCGCTTGGCCACCTGGCTCACCTACTCGTAGCTTTTTCTGACAGGCCTGCTTCCGTTTCTGACAGGCTTGCTTCCGTTAAGACCAAGATGCGCATAAGTTCAGTCAGAGGCTGGACATCGCTTGCCAGCACTCGGCTCCGGTAGATTTGGCCTGCGCCCCGGAGCTCCCCAGAGCTTTCAAGAACCACCCTTGCTGGTTCTGCACGACATTCTGGCAGGTTTCCCTGTCTGCGTTCAGTAGAAAGGTCGTCATCGACCAGGATTTCGCTGACGTGACGAAGGACAAACCGTGATTCAGGGCGCGTTCAAGACATCACTGGAGAGAGCTGTCAAGGTCGTCGTTACATTGGCCGTTTCAGGAGTGGTTCATCATTGAGACTGTTTGCCGTCCAAGGCTGGTGGCTTTGTTCAATGCTCGGCACTGAGGGAATCGGCTGACAGGTGGATGCCATGTTCTAGACAAGAGACGGCCCAGAGATTGATTGAAGTGGCACAGTAAGGTCAACATCCATGGTGGAGGCAGCTGGATCAAGCACCTTGGCCGTGACACCCCGTCCTGGTGGCAAGAAAGCATACGGAATTGCATAGTAATGCCAGCCTGCTGATGCGGCATCTTGCCTTAAACTATAAACCGTGGGTACTGCCCACATTCAGTAACAGTTGAACAATATATAAATTATAGAGAAATAAGGCCTTTAATGGTAGCCCAATTAACAGTTGAACAACATAGAAATTATAGAGACATAACGCCTTTAATGGTAGCCCTATTGTACACTGTTGTTGCAGGCAGTACCCAATACAAATCACTCTGAATGCTCGCCGACACAAAGTGAAATGCTGTTGAGCGGGCCCAATCGCGGCTGGCTAGTATCGCTTCGCATTGACGACAATGATACTGATGCCTCGCGGCGGCGACAGGGAACAGAGAGGCAATGATGGCGCCGATTTGAACATGTTGATGGTGATGATTCAGTGATGATGAAGATTCCGTGGACGTCGATGCCGACCATGCTACCTTGATACCCCGCCTCATAAGCG